CGTCTAACCGAACTTTCCAAATATGGACGTCATACGTGTCCTACGTGACCGGTAGAAATTCGTCTGGATTCCGTATCATTTATCCGTCGGCCGTGCCACCATTCGAATCCTACAAATTTCACTTTAATATTGAAAATTCATTAGTAGCAATGTTATCGTGACCGATTTCCACTGTTCCGGATTAAACCGAAGATAGATCGAGTCACTATCGAGTAGGAGGTGGAGGAATAGGAGGAGATAGGATTTTTAATCGCGGTGAATAAACAGAAGAAAAATCACGCGATGAGCGTGAAAAGATAAATAAAGTGGCAAGCGAAATATCAAATGTGTGTAATCGCGATAAAACGAGGCATGAGGTGATAAAAGGATGATACGAGAGGGATAGTTTTCGAGATTGAACGGATAGAATGAAATTTGTACAATTGAAAGTATATATCGTGAGAAGAGCCGATAAGAGAGAAATAAGATAAGATAATTAACGAGAGATATTCGATAATTTAAGTGAGGCAGATTGGAAAACTTGTAGAAATATGTGGGAATGATAAAATTGTTATCTACTTTCCACAACTTTTACCGATCAAACAGATTAATTTCATTTATCGGAAGCTTAGTGTTTGAATAACAGAATCAACTCGTTTGAGCGCAGATACGAAAATTAGCGATCGATAGAATAATTGAAGATTAATGGAAATTGGAAATTATCTTTGGCCGGTTGTAATGCAAACTATAGCAGACGAGGTATCGATTATACATGTATAAGTTAGTTAAATTTTGTATTAAATTCCTTCAAATTATCCTGTGATATAAATTATATTGAAATATTACAAATTTATTCGCGTGCGCGAATAATTTTATCACGCATGATAATTACGTGATTACGTATATAGACATAGACATATTCGATTAATAATTCGAAAGCGGAAAATTAAAGCGGGACAATAAAATAAGATAGATCGAGGATCGATAATAAATGATACTTCTTAGCGAAATCGCTTGGAAAGCATTAAAACGAACACAAAGGAGGAAGATTCATCTTTTTAAGGACTCGCGGTATCGTCTATGCACTTTCCACAGTGCTTTCCAGAGCAATAAAATTCACTTTTGTACCATTGCGAGAGAAATGATTAAATTTGTGCATAATTCATTATTAATCTATTCCTGGACAATGTCCACGTTACAGTACCAATTTGCATTCAAAAATATAACTGAATGGGAAGAAAGGGAACGTGAGACGATAATTAAAGGTTGGCAAATTAGAAGTGAATAAAGTGAAAGGATTATAATATATATTATGTTATTAAACGACAAGCATGATATCTCTTTTCCACGAATCCATTCACGAACGAAGAATTCCATCGTTCATTCATGTACAAATCGTGATAAATTCTCCTTCTATCTAGCGTGAAACATAATGATTTTTATATTCGGTTGGTTATTTATTTTTGCGTGTTTCTTTCTGAGCTAATGTGAAACTCATTGCTCGGACGTTACGCAACACAGAGAATTGAATGAAACTAGAAAAATGAGAAGCGAGAGAAATTCGATGTAAAATACGATTCTGTACACATCTTCGTAATCGATGAAGCCTAGAAATGGCTTCTAATATTGAAGAGAACATGATATTTTTACTATTACTACTATTAATTCAATCTCATACATCAAACATGTTATTAGCATTCTGAGAAATATTCTGCTTGAGTTTTTCTTACTTTTTTTCCTTATATATAGATACGCTTTGCATGATGTTTTATCTATTGAATTTAAAAAAAAAAAAGAAGGGGAAAAAAGGAAACGATTTAATTAAATATCATAGTCGTTAAAAGAATATTAAGATAAGTAATTAAACGCAATTTAATTTATTTCTCGGAAAACGAATGAATTTATCTTGTCGAAGATGAAGATTTCTCTGCATTTCAAATAAAGAAATAAACTTCGAATTAAATTTCGAGTCACGATAAATTATTACGGATGCAATGCAAATTTAAGTAGCGCGTTAAATAATGAAGAAGAAAATCTACGCCATGGAACAGTTTCAAATTAACGCTAACATCCCATCTGATTAACATCTCATCTTCCCCTAAGCTAAAACTTTCAAGCGATAACAATGTGGGCGCAATGTGAAACTTCAAAGTTTCAGACTTTGCGTCGGCGAGTCTTTCAACTCTTCCCCGGTACAATCAGTTTCTTACATGAGCGGTGTTATGCAAATTACCATCCCTCGTGTTTCAAAAGAAGGCATACCTACTTACTCGACACGGATACTCGACCAAGGGAGACGATACAATAAAAAAAAAAAAAGAAAGAAAAAAACCAGTCTCCCCCTAGCAAGCTCGACTTCGCAATATCGACGTCTGCAAACGAGCCACGAAAGAGGAGGACGAGAGAGTTAACGAGATCCGGTGATTTATAGAAGAGCCGGTTCTAGAATGAAACGAACGAAACGGGGCACGACAAGATTGAAAAGAGAGAAGAAAGATCGATTCCCCACGTCTCGTCCGCGACAGATGCATGTAAGTATATACCGATAGATTGATAAATAATGGCCGAGCTCCCGAGAGAAAAGTGCAGAAGAAACGAAAGCGTTGGTTGGAGGACGAAGGAGACCATAATGGAAGAAAATCCTTCGTGGAAAATAATCCGCTCGCTCGAACGAAAAATAAATTGGCCTCGAACTGGCCAATCCTGCCGAGCGGTGGCGACGATTGTCAAAAGATGATCGAACGGTTGGGGAATAATATTAAGTAGAGCGAGCGAGATAGGCGAGGCGAGGGCCGACAAACGAACATCGGATCGGTTGAATCCGATGAACGAAAGGGATATCGATGAAGCTAGGATGGCCCCATTACGAGATTACCCTTCGCCTGGGACGTTCAGAGATGATGGCACGAGATTTCTGATATTTCTCCATGGATCCACTCGATCTCCGTTGATAGGAAATCGATGCGCATTCAATCTCCACCCTCCACCACATCCGTGGTTCGGATTCTTACACAGATTACTTCGCCTATTTTCGGATACTTTCGGATACTACGTATTTCACGTTTCACGGGAAATTGACTCGCACGAGGAGCGGGGATTCCTGCACGTCACGTCGAAGGAATTACGACGCATTATCGGAAATGGAGAACGGGGGAATAATCCATCATCGTATCGCGCATCCGTGTGAAACACTGACTCGAATAAGCTCGAATTAGCGTGATTTAATTTTGCATTCGAACGCGCCATTTATCGTCCCTTTTTGGGGATTTTCAAATCCTACTTGTCTACTTGGATCGGATTGTAAGCCCTCCTCGACGGAAAAAGAGAAGCGAAATAAGTATTGGTTTAGGGGATGATGAGTAGAATTTAAGCGACACTGCCATTAGAGGAAATATTATACGTGAAAATTGATTTTACTTGGAATGAAATGATATAAACTTGGAATTTAAGCAATTAAGAATCATTGGAGAAAATATATTTCTTTAAATATGTGAAAAAATAGACGAATAGAATAATGTATGTTAAAAAAGAAATGTATATATCGTAGAGAAATTTTATATTTACCGTTGAGTACGCGAAAGCTTCGTGTTTAATGTAACAAGTTTCAGTACGAGGAATTAGCTCGACAGTATTTATTACAAAACGTATTATGGAGATATTTTATCTTTGATGTAACAGATTTTCATACGTTTCTCCGCAAAATTTAATAATACCCTTAATATACCGACATAACATTTAATAACAAATTTCATTACTTTGATCTAAATATCGAACGAAAATACTGTAATTAAATATAATCTTCGTTGGAGAGAGTGTATTTGAAAATAATTTAGACCACGATGGGATCTTGATTAACGAAAGATAATACGTTTTATTTTAAATAACGGTCTAAAGTTGAAGCGTTTCTCGACACGCGAACTTTCGAAAGACACTTCTTTTCTCTCGCAAGAGCGAGATGGCTCCTAAATTACTCCCGATAATGAAACTCGAAGCTATAATTATTCGTCGAACACCTGTAACGTTCCGTCTCAATCCAAACATGCGATCCACTTCAATAACGCTTTTTTCTTCCCCCCTTTAACTAGTACCACATTTACTAGATCCCTAGTTCGCAAACGAGAATCCAAACATCGCCCTTTCCCGTTCTCGGCCAAGCGCGATCCGTGCTTTTAATTGTAAAGACTGGCATTCCGTGCAATTGAATCCGCTTTCACGTAAATAATATCGAAAAAGAGCGTGCATCCAACCGTGGAAACAGAAATTCCACTCATCGCAACCCGATCGACCGTGTCTTATTCGAATGAGAACCAACATCGATTTCGATTTCATCCCTCTTTCGCTCCTCCTCGTTGATATTCGCGCTACGTGTCTCACGGCCGGTCAACGGTATCTCTTTCTCCATCTAAATTTCCCGTCCAGATTTTTAATTTATCATCGCCGCTACGAATTAAGTTAACATATATGCGTAAAAAAAAAAAAAAAAGAAGGGAAAAAAAATCTGAAGAATGAAATTTTTACGGATACGATTTATGGCCACACTTGACTTCATCACGAACCACTTCACGTTGCGGGCGAGAGAAAGAAGGATATACGTGACGATTCCGTAAAAGCACGGCATTTACGATCCCTATCAAATAATGTAGGTCGCCGTGAACAACTTCTTAACGGCCCTTAAAGCCGCGCGTTGTTTCGTTTTTTTTTTTTTTTTATACGTTTCTATCATGCAACGTTGGCGGAATGGGTTACGCGTAAAAATCGTAAATCATCCGCAGCCACAGCTACATAAAAACCACCCCCCTTCCCCTCTCCTGCCAACGAGCCCGTGCATTATCTTTTTCTCGCTTTTGTCTCTTTTTTCCCTTTCCTCTGTCTCCCTATGTTTAGTCCCTTTCTCTTTTATCTTTCTCTTTTTTCTTTCATGTGCAACGAACAACAACGAGGACGCAAATAACGCAAGGTTGGTCGGTTCTCTGCATACGTTTCAAGGATTCCCGCGCTGGATGGATCGCGGCTCTCGCCGCGAATTTAACACGTGGTTTCGCAACGTTTAAAAGACGTCGAAGGTTAAAAGTTTTCGTCTCGAAATATCGACGATGCCGACGACACTTCCCACCGCCAGTTTTCAAAGGAGAACTGCAGTTTTTGCAGGACTTGGATGGCGACGGGACGAGGTAAGAAAGCACGTCGAATAACATGGAATTGGAAAAATTCCAATTCCCAGAAATATTCACCGAAGTAATGTTATTTTTATAAGGACATTTCGTCCAATTAATGAGATTTTTCCTTTTTTTTTTTAAGCTCCGAGAAATAAGGCTGGAAACACCTTGGAGCGTGGTTACGATTTCGTCGTGTTATTTTTATTGTTTATGATTGAATCGATTGAAATTCTTTCCTTTTCTCATCAAGGTGATGACATCTGACGCGCGTTTTTTTTTTTTTTTACAGTAAATTTTTAAAGTCATCTTTTTTTCATTAGATGAAAAAATGTTCCTTTTCGAGGCCACAGCACTCGCCTCGATACCTGTTGACCCATATGTTGACAACTGAGTATCTACGCCTGTCTTTACATTTGCTACTCTGACACATCGTAAAATCCGCTCTAAATCCTCGTTCTTAAATCTTCAATTTTCAAAACAAAAAGATTTTAAGTTAATATTTTAATATAATTTTGATCGATAGTAAAAATTTGAACAGATAAGATCCGCAAATAATAACAAAATAACGAATAACGTATTAAATAATAAAAACGCAACACGTAGAACGAGTAAACTCGGTTAAGGAAAGATAAAGACGACTTTTATCGAGCATTTCGTTAAATGTAAGCATTCACCATGGAATAACTGCAACTCCGAGTCGTTTATTCAAATATATGTATTTGCCCTAGTAGTGTAAATCGAGGGAAAAGAAGTTGGTTCATTATGGTTGGCTCATCACCAAGGCAAATGAATTAATTTTCTTGATTGTGTGGCTAAAATATACCGAGCATTGTAAACTTGCTGAAGGATCTTACTCTTGGGGTCACGTCACATTAACCGACATTCAAATAATTAAACAGGTGGCATAACGTAGATAGGGGAGACTAATCACGTCACGCAGTGCACATCATTAATTTATAACGAGCATTAACCTGAAATCGTAGAAGCAACAACGCTTGCCCGCTTATCTTGGTCCGTGTTATGCAATGTGTGCATGTGTTGTGTGAAATTGACAGATTGTTTCGAGATAATGGATTGAATTGCATCGAGTTACGTCGGAGCAAAATAAATGAATTATTCGAACAATTGACTTAATTTTAAATTATTCGGCTATCGAATCTTATTCAACATTTGAATAAATGTTTTCTAAAATGGTTTAATATCGATTCAAACGAATACTGTTATTTAATTCTATTATTAGAATATTATTTATTTTTCTCTCGTAATTTTAATTCTATTCTTTGTTTCAAACAAAATACGTCCAAATCTGCCGAAAAAAACGTCTGTCTTCAAAAAGATATTAAACGAACAAAAAATAGTAGTAGTTCTTGGTTGGAATGTATGTTTGAACGTAGTAGGGGCGTACGTAGTATGATAATAAGGGGAGCATGACAAAAATACATTTCACGTCAATTTCACTCGGACACTTCTTTATTTATATACCCCCGAAGGCATTAGAACACGGTACGGAAACGAAGAAAGTAATTTACACGAGGGACAATGCGCGCTGGTGGAGAAGCAAGCTGAAGCTTAACATCACGACTTGAGGGATTAAAAAATTTATTTCGCCCACTGAGGTTTTTTTCTCGAGGTTTTCTTTCTTTTTTTTTCCCCCCCTTCTTCTTCTAAATCAGATCCATGGAAAATATCGGGGTGGATTTTAATCGTGACAGGAAATAATTCGCGCAGATAACGTTCATTTTTAGCACGGTCGGCATAGAAATTGCAATCCAGCTCCGTCTCGCGAAATTACTTCAACTTGTCCGTTTCATCGATTCGCATTTACCTTAATCGTCTTAATTAATCTTACTTCTCTCTGAATTTACTCGGACGCGGATGGAAAATATAAAGGGGATTGCGCCACCTTTCTTCGATGCCTCATATTCGATGGCTCGACCGGGCAAATATAGACTTTAATTTTTGAAAAAAGTAAGTAATTCAAATCAATTTATAAAATTGGATGTAAATGATTAGATTTTAAAAAATTTATAGAGAGATCTTTTGATCGAACACGATATTTGCGAACAACATTTTCGAACAACGTCATTAAATCGTACCAATAAAAAGAAGAAAAAGAAGAAGAAAGATTTTGTTTTCCATGAAAAATCACCTTTGCACGAGACATTGGACAAAAGATTCACTTGTAACAAATACACAGCAAGACTTTTCTATAGACTGTTCAATATTGTTCAAGGAACGATTCTAAACGCGAATGGATAAAAGAGAGAGAGAAAGAGAGAGAGAGAGATTTTAAGCGAAACGTCGAAGCACATCTAAATGGGATAGCGGTGTGAAAATCGATCAAACGAATCTCGAGGTTTGCTCATTCGAACGGAGCACTTTGTCCGATCCTTAGCTCGAACATTGAAAACGTTTCTACGTTGAAACGATCTCGTTGCAAATCTTTGCAATAATGGGAGCGTAGCAGATACGTTTATTATTCATTTTGGGGTGGCATCCATTTGCACGCGATCTACGTGCTTCGCGAGGTAAACCGAGCATCCACTTCCGTTTATCGAATCGATTCGACGCGCTTCATTTGATTCAAAACTGAATTCGATCCTTCGTAAGCACGATTTAACCGCTTATTATTTATCGCGTGCCGATGTCTAAACAGGTTAAACATATTATTTATCGTTGATTATTAATTGATTATGAACACGAGACAAATAATTGCAAGCAAGAAACAATATTGTATTTGTAATATCAATTAAACAGCGTTTCGGGGAGAACGATTATTTTTACCGAACTTTGATACTGAAAATATTTATTGAATTGTTGATATTATCGATATCAACACAATTGGAGAGAAGATAAATTTGAATAACTTTGACAAACTTATAAAATATCAATTAAGAGTATTCAAATATTACCCAATCCACATTTGTATCAATGAAACGCTTATTCATAATTGATTCAACGTTTAAAGCACACAATAAACAGAATGACGAATAAATCAGCAAAGAAGAAGTTATTCATCGAATCAATTCACACGCTCTTATCGCCCAAACCTACTCAACATTTATCCTCTCAATCTTACCAAATCAATCTCATTTCGCGCATCATCGAACATCAACCAAGAGTAAAACATCTGTCTAAACGCCTGCAGCATTCAATCGCACAACTTTCTATTCAACTTTCATTCACATGCATAATGTCGCTGATCATTCTTCTTCCCGCTGATCCCCCTAATTGTCATCCCCGAAGTCAGATCGCAGTGTACTTTCGAGACATGGGGAGGAGAGGAAGGGGATTTTAATAAAAGTTGGATATTCCGTGGAATTTGTCGCGTGACATCAGAAAGGGAAGGGGGCGACCTCTTCCTTTCAATCTCGAGCGCAGAATTAGAGGAAAAAGTCAACATCCATCGAGGCGGAGGCAAATAACGCGACATCGAGCCGCGCGATCGAGCGAGCCAAGTTGAGGAGGAGGAGCAGGAAATACGCGGAAAGATGGATGATCGTGCGCGTTTCGTTGTTCCATTGTGCCGACCGATTGTCGCGTCATCACCATTACCCCTATCGATGATACAATCCTTTTATCAACACTTTGATCGTATCACGCGTGAATACACCCGTCAACAACTATGAAACCCGCTTTTAAAATAACTGCTGCAAAATAAATTACTCGCTCGTTGTCCGAATAATCGCACGTCCATCGTTGCAGATGGATTCCTTGGATATAAATTTTATTAACCGGTAATTCGACTATAAACCGTATCGACCGGCCGGTTAATTAATTTCGAGCCAAGCTGACGAAAATAATTAAGGGATTATCTACATCGAGTGACTTTATCGCGGCGGGCAATCGTGTATGCTTAATTTTAACCGGAGTTCATTAAAGTGCCGTCACGGTGTGATCAATATTTTAATTTTATTATTTAACTTGTAATATCAATTTGAAGGGCGTTTCAGTTTTGGTTTATTTATTTATTTTTTTTAAGTAATTCGTTTTACGCGAGAACTTTTTATTTATTTTTATTTTGCGCGCAATTTTTGTGGAATTTTTTCCTTTGATTTTTCGATGAAAGTTTATATATATAATCTCTTCTGCAATGATGAATGTACAGTGTTAATAATTCGCAGTAGAGAGTGTATTTACAAGAATCAAGAGGGAGGGAAAATAGGATAATGTAAAATCCAAACGAGTGGAGAGAAGCGAAATTGCAATCTTGCAACCAGATTTGATATTCTAAATAAACCGTTTCCGTTGGTATGGGACGAAAGTTCAGCGACATTTAATTTCAGTTAGAAATCTTGTAACGGATAAGCATGTCGCTGGTAAATAATTTCATTAACATTCGAAATAAAGTAACCGAAAAGAAAGGAACGAAGAAAAAAACAGACTCAAATTAAGGGAAAATAAATGAGCGAAACTTGGTAGGAAGTATTCTGAATGATAAATGAACTTCTAGAAGGTCACCAGGCAGTCTCAGAATATTTTTTCCTCGAATTTTCGCGACTTGAACAATGAAGGGAAAGCTTTACAGTTCGTTGAAATAAAAATATATAACAATCACGCAACAATTTTGATGAAAAATAAAAATATATTGCTGTGATTTTCTCGCGCGTAACGAGAAAATAGGAAAACGAGAAAAAAAAATTGAATTCCTATTGAAATATTAACGAAAACTCTCCGCGATATTATTAACTGTGATATCACTCGTGAAAAACGGGAAAAAAGAGAGAGAAATAGAAATAGAAAAAAAAAAATATAAACAAAATGTCTTTTCGGCGATAAAACGAACCATGTTTTTTTTAGTTCCAGCAAGATAAAGTAGTGAAAAGAAGAAAAAAAAAAGAACAATAAAGAAACAGAAGAGGGTGGAAAATGGAAGAGG